CCATGCCAAGAAACACCCTGCTCGCCTCCAGGGTGCCCTGGGTTTTTCGGTTTCGATGGTTTTGCTATGGAGTGCAGGACGTTCCCACACCAAAAGATCCATGGACGTCCTGGGGTCGCAGGGCTGGGTTTCTTCTGGAAGGTTTCTTGTGGTCGGGCCCCTACTGTATGCAGTTTCGTGGGTTCCATTGAGCGGGGTGGGCAGCATGTCTCCTCTTCCTCCTGTGATTCTCTTCCCCTCCCTCCTTAGCCTTCGCCTCCTGCCGCCCCCCCTGCCCCGCATGCCAGGGCTCCTGAGAACAAGTCTTTGACGCTGCGAGGTCATCTCACACGGCATCTCATCCCGTCTCTCGCATGCTTCCCAGACCTGCGACGTCTTCAGTTGTGTCGACGATATGAGCCACCGAAAAAACCGCCCCCATTCCACAGACCCCGTTCCCGCTGCGGGTCGTCTTGACATGGCTGCGCGGCCCCACCCCTTACCGCCTGTCTCCGCAGCGCCGGAGGTCTGAGTCGCTCTTTTGGCTCTGTAGGTCGTCTTATGATGGCCGCGGGGCCTCAGAATGCCCGCCCCCCCCCTCTCTCCTGCTCCTGAGCCCCAGATATGCAGGAGAAGCGCCTGCCGCTCTCTCACCGCAGCGCTGGGAGCGGCGGAGGGGGCGACGCGGCGACCACGACCACGACGACGACGACCACAACCACGGCCAGCACGACCACGGCGGCGGCGGTGGTGGCGTTCGGCGGCGACGACGCGACGACGGCGGCGGCAACGACGACGACCACGACGACGACGACGACGACCACAACGACGACGACGACGACGACGACCACGACCACGACCACGGCGGCGGTGGTGGCGTTTAGCGACGGCGACGGCGGCGGCGCTCTGCGCTGGTCGCCGCACTCGGCGCCGGCTCCTCCCCCCCGCCGGGTCGCCAAGTCGCCGGTCGGTGCCGCTCGGCGCCGTGAGCCGCTTGTCGTCATCTGTGTGGTCGTCGTCGTCGTCGTCGTCGTCGTCGTTGTCCGCGTCCTCGTCCTCGCCCTTCTCTGCCCCTGCATCTGCCTCTGCCTCTTCCCGCTCCTGCTGCTGCTCCTCCTGCTCTTCTTGTTCATGTGACTCCTCATCTTGCTCGTCCTCCTCCCTCCTCTCTCCTCATTACTCATCCTTCCTCCTCAGCCTCTGCCTCCTCGTCCTCATCCTCAGCCTCAGTTTCCTCCCCCCCTCCACACTTACTCAATATGAATGCTACTCTCCTCTCTCTCCTGAAGATGGCCGAGGAGTGGCCCGCCCGACTCCCTCCGAGTATATAATAGTTTTGTTGAAAGGATTTCAATCGGGCCGTCTCTGGTGTCCCCAAAGATGTTTTACCGCTGCAGAGTTGGCTACATTTGAGGATCGGCACCTTGCTCCCATCGTTCAGAATGGCGCTCTCTCTCCCCGCAGCGCGAGCCACTTTTCTGGATCCGAGTCCTCGCTCTTTTTCATGTCCCCACCTTCCTCCGGTCATCATGTTCCGATTCTCCCGTTCTTGCTCCTGCTGCTGCTGCTGTTCCTGCTCGTCCTCGTCCTTCCTGGCTCATCCTTCTCGTCTCGTCTTCCTCCTGCTCATCCTCCTGCTCATCTGGCACCTCCTCCTCCAATGTACGCCGCTCCTCTTTCTGTGATTGCGTATGACACAATGGGGTCCTTTGGGGGGTTCCCAGTCCGCGGCGGCACTCGGCTTCGGACATAAAAACACACACACACACACACACTTTTTGCGTCGGCGGCTGGGCAGAGGGCGACTGCTCCGGCGGAATGGCAACAGGGAACACACAAACACACACACACACACGCACACACACACGAATGGATCTCTCAACCGTGAGTTGAAGATTTTATCGTGAGTTAATTTCAGCAGTGTAGTGTCAACAGCGCAGTGTCAACTGACACTACGCTGTTGACGCTACGCTGTTGACACTTCGCTGTTGACACTGCGCTTTTCACACTACGCTGGTCACTCTACGCTGTTGACACGCTGGTCCCCAAAACTAGACCCCTTAGACCGCCCAGAACTTCAAACACCTCATGCAACCCTCACCAAACTCAAATAAAATCCGCTGTCAGTTGACACTGCGCTGTTGACACTACGCTGTGAGTTCGGCGATTTTCACCAAACTCGTCCTGCATTTCTGGGCGCGACGAGCAGCAAGGCAGAGTGTATAGCGCAGTGTCAACAGAGCAGTGTCAACTGACACCACGCTGTTTACACTACGCTGTTGACACTATGTTGTTAACACTGCGCATGTTGAAGTGTAGTGTGAACACCACGCTGTTGACCCCACGGTGTTGACACTACGCTGCTGACATTACGGTGTTGACAGTACGCTGTTGGCACCATGCTGTTGACACCATGCTGTTGACACTACGCTGATGGTACCGTGCGGTTGGCACGACGCTGTTGCCACTGCGTTATTGACATTACGCTGTTGACACTACGCTGTTGTCACCACGCTGTTGTCACTACGCTGTTGATGCCATGCGGTTGACACTACGCTGTTGTCACTAAGCTTTCGACACTATGCTGCTGACGCTGCGCTGTTGACACTGCGCCGTTGATACTACCTACGCTGCTGACACTGCGCTGTTGACACTACGCTGTTGGCGCTACGCTTCTGGTACTACGCTGCTGTTGACACTACGCTGTTGACACCACGCTGTTGACACTGCGCTGTTGACACTTCGGTGTTGGCACTACGATGTTGTTACGATGCTGTTGGTACCACGCTGTTGGCACTATGCTGTTGACACTACGCTGTTGACACAGCGCTGTTGACGCTACGCTGTTGACACTACGCTGTTGGTACTAAGTTGTTGACGCTACACTGTTGAAGCTGTGTTGAAGCCACTTACGCTGTTGACGCTACGCTGTTTAGACCATGCAGTTGACATTTTTCTGTTGACACTACGCTGCTGACACTACGCTGTTGACACTACGCTGTTGGCACTACGCTGTTAATACCATGCAGTTGACACTACTCTGTTGACACTACGCTGTTGACACTACGCTGCTGTCAGCACGCTGTTGACACTACGCTGTTGATACCATGCGTGACACTGCGCTGTTGACACCATGCAGTTGACACTACGCTATTGACACCACGCTTCTGATACCATGCAGTTGAGACTATGCTGTTGACACTACGCTGTTGACGTTACGCTTCTGGTACCACGCTGCTAACACTGCGATGCTGACACTACGCTGCTGGCACTACGCTTCTGATACCATGCTGTGGCAACCACGATGTTGATATTACGCTTTTGACACTGCGCTCTTGACACTTCGATGATCACACTACGCTTCTGAAACCATGCAGGTGACACTACGCTGTTGACACTACGCTGTTGGCGCTGCGCTGTTGATACTATGCGGTTGACACTATTATGTTGACACTTTGCTGTTGACACTACGCTGTTGCCGCGACGCTGTTGGCACCATGCAGTTGGCACTGCGCTGTTGACACTACGCTGTTGACACTACGTTGTTGACACTACGCTGTTGACTCTACGCTATTGGTACCATGCAGTTGACACTACGCTGTTGACACTACGCTGTTGACATTACGCTGTTGGCGCTACGCTGTTGAATCTTTGCCGTTGGTACTGACTACGCTGTTGACATTACGCTGTGGGCACTAAGCTGTTGACATTGCGCTGTTGATACCATGCGTGGTAATACGCTGCTGGCGCTACGTAGTTGACACCATGCAGTTGACACTATGCTGTTGGCACTACGTTGTTGACACGACGCTGCTGGCAGTACGTTGTTGGCACCGCGCTGTTGACATTATGCAGTTGACACTACGCTGTTGACACTACGCTGATGACACTACGCTGTTGGCACTACGCTGTTGACACTACGCTGTTGACACGTTTCTGTTGACACCATGCAGTTGGCACTACGCTTTTGACATTACGCTGTTGACCTTACACTCTTGGCACTACGCTGTTGCCACTGTTGCTACCATGCCGTTGACACCACGCTGTTGAGACTACGCTGTTGACACTTTTCTGTTGCCACCATGCAGTTGACACTACGCTTTTGACATCACGCTGTTGAAATTTCGCTGTTGGCACTGACTACGCTGTTGACACGACGCTGTGTACACTAGTCTGTTGACACTACGCTGTGGACATTGCGCTGTTCACATTACGTTGTTGACACTACGCTGTTGATACCATGCGTGACACTAAGCTGTTGGCACCATGCAGTTGACACTACGCTATTGACACCACGCTTCTGATACCATGCAGTTGACACTACGCTGTTGACACTACGCTGTTGACGTTACGCTTCTGGTACCACGCTGCTAACACTACGATGCTGACACTACGCTGCTGGCACTACGCTTCTGATACCATGCTGTGGCAACCACGATGTTGATACTACGCTCTTGACACTACGCTCTTGACACTTCGATGATCACACTACGCTTCTGAAACCATGCAGTTGACACTACGCTGTTGACACTACGCTGTTGGCGCTGCGCTGTTGATACTATGCGGTTGACACTATTATGTTGACACTTTGCTGTTGACACTACGCTGTTGACACTACGCAGTTGACACCACGCTGTTGACACCATGCAGTTGCCACCACGCTGTTGACACTACGCTGTTGACCCTGCGGTGTTGACACTACGCTGTTGACACTACGCTGTTGACACTACGCTGTTGACTTGACTCACGGTTAAACCGCCTCCTCCACACACCGCATGGAGAAGGGATGGGTGGAAGGGGTAGGATGTCAGATCTGGCGCGAGCGCGCCAAGCTTGTCCTCCTCCCCTTTTCCCTCGTCCTCCTCTTTCTCAGCCTTTCCCCCTCCTTCGTCTTCCTCAGGCTCTGCCTCATCCTCTTCATCGTCGTCCTCCTCCGCTTCACGGCCTCCTCATCTCCCTCCTTCCCAGACGAGGGAGTAACCGGGGGGGGCGGCATGGGGCGAGAGAAACGCGGCTGTCAGCTTTCCAGAGGGCGAGGACGCCCTTGGCGTAGTTCGCCTCCCCCGAGGGCGACGCCGGGGGAGCGTCTGGGCTTCGCGGAAGGAGGAGGAGGAGGAGGAGGAGGAGGAGGAGGAGGAGGAGGAGGAGGAGGAGGAGGAGGGGGGGGAGGAGGAGGGTGAGGGGGAGGAGGGCAGGGAGGAGGGGGAGAGAATAGGCAGCGGAAGTGGATGAGAGGAGAAAGAGGAGGGGGAGGACGACGACGACGACGAGGCGGACGAGGAGGAGCAGGGGGATGGGGAGGGAAGGGGGGGGAATGAAGGGGAGGGAACGAGACAGAAGAGTGAGAGCGTGGACTGTAGAAGGGTGCTTGGTGCTTGGCAGAGAGGGGCAAATGAGCAGCGGCTGTCATACAAACGACAGCATCGCTCTCTGCCAGTACGCTCGGCCAAACATTTCTCCGCGGTTCGACCCGGCGTGCAACACAAGCTGCTTCGCTGCCGGGCAGACCCTCTTCGGGTCAGCTCGGGTTTAACTGGGACGCTCTTGGGCCACCCTGGGGCCATCATCCCCTGTCCCCATCCCTTCGCATCCCTCTTCTCCCCCTCCCCCTCCCTATCCCGGTCCTTCCGCGTCCCCTCCCTCGACCTCTCTGTGCCCATCCTACTCGCACGGTGCCTGCTCTGCCCATTTCACCCCTTCCTCGCCTGGGCCCGGCGCGGTTTGGCTCAAGCCTGCAGCGCTCTGTGCCCTCTTCGCTCGCACATTCTATTCCGCCTTCAGGAAACGCATGCGTTCTCCACGTCACCTCTTGCATTCCATTTTCTGGTGGGTAGCGGAGCTTCGGCTCGCCAGGCGTCGACCGCCATGGCTCCACCTCTCCGCCGCCTTCATGACCGCCTTCAGGCGTCCAACTGCTCATCCCGCTTGTCGTGCCCCGCATCATCCGATTTCACCGCCTTCGTGCATTTTTTCCCGTTCACCTTCGGGGCAGCCGCCTGTCCGCCCCCAGGACCAGAGATTGGGAACAGGCACAGCCAGTACCATTACAAGTACGCGGACGAAGCCTTCAAGGATCCCAGCCACGCTCCGGCTCTCTCGGCGATCCTTCCCGGGCTCGCACTGACTGTCAGCGCAGCTCGCGGACCCTACGCCTTCGATACACCCGTCTGTGGGAATGACCACGAATGTCGGACAGTTGCTCGATACAACGTTTTCATCTACGGTGTCGGTCATGGGTCCCGAGCTTCTGGTGACTGTGTCACGAGAGCTCCGGGAGGTGCAGGCAGAGAAAAGCGGGAAGGAACTGGCGGTTCTGTCGACTGTGTCGCCAGCGTTCCGGGAGGCAGCGAAGCGGATCTGGGATAAGTAGTCGTCGATTTGTTGGAACATGATTTTTCACCTTACCCACGCATGCCCTGCTGCTCGGCAGGACGGCCCCGATGCGCACGCCTCTTGACGATCGTGCAATTGGCGGTGTTCAATAGAGCGACAACACGACATACGATGAACATTCCCTTGACTGTGTCGCGAAATGCTCCAAACGCCGAGAGCACGACCACCGCGCGACGGAAGCAAACGCCCAATACGCAGGTGAGGATCAACACGTCCCGGGCAAGCATCCACGGCGGCTCCGAAGCACCTTGCCCTAGCAGCGCCGCCGGTGGATCCCCAGCCTCCAGCGCCTCTGCGACAGGCGGAGGGTTCTTCACTCCGGATGGTAGGCCATCGGAATGGTCATGATTGCCATCGCCAACTGCCTCTCCTGCAGACGGCGGCAGCGGCAACATGCGACACGTCCGCGCCGGGGGGGCCGAGCAGCAAGATCGCGTGCCTTTTTTTCAGATGTGGGCGCGTGAGGTGATGATCTGGTCAGTGGCAAACTCAGACCTCAACGAGTTTCGCCAGGCGGCCTACGTCTCGTCACGACTCACAGGCATGGCGCGCGAGTGCGTGGACGAGTGGCCGCCCGCTGCCCTGATCCAGGGAGGACTCATCAACTGCAGCCCAGTGCCAGCAAGCACCCTCTCGATGTAAAGTTTGGCCGAGCGGCGGGGCAAACCAGGCCAGGAGAAGCGCCTCGGCAGTGTCGGCGCTGATTAACTTCAGCCGACTGCCGCAGGATCGCGTCGACATTTTTTTCGCGCGGTTCGGCGCCCCCCGCAACCGGGCGCATCAAGCTGGTCAGCAGATGATCGGTCACGAGGGCTTCAGCTTCCTCCTCTACGCGCCGTTGGCGCGTCGAACATCCAGCTGTCCATGGTCTTGCAACGCTGCAATGTGGCCTACCCCGCGAACGCAGCGCAGCTTGCGCACATGACTGGCCAGCTGCGACGCTTCGGGCACATGATCGAGGGATCGACAGGCGACCTCGCCGATGCGGCTCGCCCTGTCCGACTTCGGCGCGCCCACGCGAGATCAGGTCTGGGCGCCCGCGGCACCGTAGCTGGATCGGTCTGCGAGGGCGTGGGCCCAGCAGCACTGGATGCGGCGCCTAGCCCGACTAGGCCAGCACCCGCCGGCGAACCATCGCAGGGGGCATTCCCAAATGCAGGTGTCGACTCAGGTATCGACGCCAACGCCGTCAGCTCACTCGGCGAAGACATTGCCGCGGACGATCCTGAGCTGCGCGGCGTTCTCGTGGAACGAAGCGGCGCGCGCCCCTCCTGGGATTGCGAGCGCGCCGCGCCGGCGCGCCCCCGACAAAAGCAAGGCCGCGCGCCGCGACCGGGGGGCCATCGAACGAAAGCGCAAGGGCTAAGGTCGAATGCGCTGCGCCTTCCCGGCCGCCCTGTCCGAGAACGACCCCCGGGGGACTTTCGCGGGCTTCGGGGGGGGCAAAGTGGAAGGCGAGGAGAGGTTCAGGGCAAGTGGCATGGGTTTGGGCCGCCGAGGCAACCCCATGGGCCCTGGCCGGGTGCGTCTCAAATGCCGCGAGTGCGACTCTGAGGGGCGCCTCGTGCGCGACTGCCCCCGGCGCCGCGGCCGAGGGCGCGCTCTCTCTCCCGCGGCGCTGCGCCCCAGCGCCGTCGTCGCCGCTAACAGGAGGCGCGCGTGCCGAGGACCATGGCTGGGGCCTTTTTGGCCCGTCGCGAGGGTCTCGGGGGCGGGCCGGGGGCGCGGCCGAAACGGGGGGGGCGCGGCCGATCGGCCGGGATAAGCGGGCGGGGAGGCCGCGGGGCGGGAAGGGCGGGGGAAGGGGGGCGCGGTCGGTCGGCGGGGGCCGCGGGGCGGAGGGGGGAGGCGCGGTCGGTCGGCCGGTCGGGCTAAGCAGACGAGGGCCACGGGGCGGATGAGAAGGGGCACGGTCGGTCGGTCGGAATAGGCAAGCGAGGGCCGCGGGGCAGAGGGGCGCGGGGGGGCGGAGGGGCGGGGGGGCGCGGTCGGAATGGAGGGCGCGGTCGGTCGGCCGGTCGGTCGGGATAATGCGCAGACAGGGGCCACGGGGCGGAGGATAGGGGCACGGTCGGCGGCTGAATTTGCAGGCGGGGGCCACGGGGCGGAGGGGGGGGCGCGGTCGGTCGGTCGGTCGGAAGCGCAGGCGGGGGCCCGCAGGGCGGGGGGGGGGGCTCGGTCGATCGGTCGTGGGCCGCGGGCGGAGGCGCGCGAGGGGCGGGGGTGCGGGGGGGCGCGGCGGGGGATGTGGCGCGGTAGGTCGGTTGGACCAAGCGGACGGGGGGCACGGGGCGGATGGAGGGGGGCACGGTCGTCGGTCGTCGGTCGGTCGGAATAAGCAGACGGGGCAACGGGGCGGATGGGCGCGGGGGCGGGGCAGTGGGGCGGGCGGGCGCGGTCGGGCAGGGGGGGGCGCGGTCGGTCGGTCGGTCGGGCGGGCGGGGCGCGGTCGGGATAACAAGCAGAAGGGGGGCCGCGGGGCAGAGGGGGGGTCGGTCGGTCGGAATCAGCAGGCGAAGGCCACAGGGCGGATGGGGCGCGGGGGGGGCGCAGGGTCACGCGGGGGGGCGCGGTCGGGCAGGGGGGGGCGCAGACGCAGAGGGGCAGGACTGCGCGGTCGGGCAGGGTGGGGGGGGTGGCACGGTCGGTCGGTCGGTCGGAATTTGCAGACAGGGACCACGGGCCGGAGGGAGAACGGTCGGAATAAGCAGACGGGTGCCACGGGGCGGAGGGGGGGGGGGCACGGTCGGTCGGTCGGTCGGGGGCAGGCAGACGGGGGCAGCGGGGCGGAAGCGCGCGGGGGGGGCAGGGGGGCGGGGGGGCTCGGTCGGGCAGGGGTGGGGGCGCGGTCGGGGGCCCGGGCCACGCCCTAGCACGCATGCCAGCACTCGAAGCCAGCACACATCCCAGCACGTATCCCAGCACACGAAGGCAGCAAACAGCCGCGCACACATCCCAGCACACGAAGGCAGCGCACGTCCCAGCACACATTCCAGACCAGCGCACATCCGAGGCACGGTCGGTCGGCTGGTCGAAATAATGCAGTGAGATCTCACCAGTAGGTATGATCACACATTCACCACTTGCGCCTTTGGCGCAGCAGAGGCCGCCAGGGCCGTCCGAGCAGCAGCCCGCGCCAGGAGCGCACGCAATGCGGATGGCCAGGGGCGCCCCCGGGACTCCGCAGCGCGCGGCCCCAGGCGCCGGGGAAGGTGGCGCCGCGCAGAGCGATGGCCGCCGGAGCGGCTGACAGCCGACTCCAGCAGCATCAGCGCCGCGGCCAGAAGCGTCAGCAGCCGCTCCAAGTGCGTCGTCAAACGGCTCGTGGCAATAAGTTGGCCGCAGCCACTGGTCACGTTGGGCGCGTGCATCATCTTCGCTTCCGCCATCGCCCAACCTTCGCGACGCCGAACGACGACTACTACTACAGGAGATGACAGTGCTCATGAGCCGCATGCAAGACTCTGCGCAGCCAGCGCGCCCTGCGACCGCGCCACTCTCCCGGGCGGCAGCGGCGGGGGAGGCAGCGCCTGCCGCGGCATGCCCGACAGCAGCAGCCGCGCCGGCAGCGCCGACAGTTCCGGCAGTCTCCACAGCACAGCTGCAGCCTGCACTGCAATGGCCGCCACGAGTGGGCGGCGCGTTCCCGCCGGGGAAAGCTGAGGGGCGCGACTGGGCAGGCGACTCCAACGCGCGAGCCACCGAGCCTCCGGCCCCGCTTGCGACATGCAGTTGCCGAGCTGGGCACGCGCGCGTTCAGACTCAGCCCTCGGCATTAGCGCTCCACGTGGATCGAGGCCCACGTTGCCGCCGCAGTCCGCGCCCTTAGTCTGTCGCCGCCGCGCCAGCAGCCCCGTCGACACGAGTCAACCGCTAGGGAGTGGCCATGTGGTTCGCCGGCCGCGAGACCTGCCAGTGGCGGCCGATCCGAGTGCAACGCGGGCGCCGCCCTCGACCAGCGACGGCGCCTCGACGAGCCCCACAGCACACAGCTCGAACTTGAGCTCCTACGGCAGCAGGACGAGCAGCGACGTCAGGCAGCGCGGGGTTGGACAGGAACCCCCATGAACACTCCTCTTGTGTCGCCGCTCCACATACCGAGCCCCCCTCGGTCCCGTTTTTCACCGGCGACGATAGGGGGCGCCCCGTCTGCCTCGAGGCCTTCCGGCGCGGCGAGAGCGCGGTGCGCCTGCAGCCCCGCCGCATCTTGCACCGCGCGTGCCACTTGTAACTGATGCAGAATGCAGACGCCCGCTTGGCGCAGTGTTCGGCGCGCCGCCGCCCGGCCGACTTCGTCGTCGATTTCGGGCCTGGCCCGCGCGGCAGCAGACGTGCAGAGGCATGCCGGAGGAGACCCCGCTCTCCCCGACCTGTCCCCGGCCCTGGGGTCCTTCGACCAGACCTCGTGACATTGTTGGGCAGAGCGTCCAGCGTCGCGTCCGCCGCGAACGCGGCGGCGCCCTGCGACGCCCGCTTGGACCTGCGCGCGCCGTCGCGCACGCAGGCCGCCCCCCCGCGGTGGCCGACTTCGTCGGGCACAGGCGCGAGTGCATCCACCGACTCGCCGCGCTACCTGCGCCGATCTACCGGGCGGCCGATTGGGCGACTCGGTCGATGCCAGCGCTTGGACCAAGTTCCTGGGATCCCGTGTCGCCATGAATCTGGCCCACAGGGCCCAGCTGGCGAGGCTGCAGCCCAATGGGGAGAAGTTGCCAACCCTACTGCGCGGCAGGAGTTGGCAACGGCCCACAGGCAGCGCACTGCGAGGCCCGCTGCCCCATCGCGACAACTTCCCGCGACGGCGCGACCAGTCAGCGCAGCATGCGCGCTCCTGCCGTGGCGTGGAGGGCGCGGGCGCTGACCTTCCTGCTCCGTTAGTTCTGCGGTCTACGTAGTCCATCAACAGGGCAGCTGCTCGCGGCACGCGGCACAGCTGGCGGACCGCGGGCGCGCGCCCTCACGCTGCACGAAATGTTGCGCAGCCCCGCCTCTGCGGAGGAGATGGGGATGTTGATAGGGGGGAGGTTGCGCGATCCCTTCTGATCCCGTTTGCCACGGCGCGTCCGTCTTCAGCGCCCTGCTCGTGGATCCAGCGCGGCCGCCTTCTGAGAACAGCGTGGCTGGTCACCTGTGGTGGTTGGCTGACCAGCTTTGTACTGGGCACATTGAGGACCTCCTCTGGTGCGACACTCGGGGCCCGCCGACCGACCCCGTGACCGCGGGCAGCATTGGCCGGGAGCTCATCCCCAGCGCAATGGACGGCCAGATCAGCAAAGACCACGACACGGCCAAGCTCAGCGGCGAGAAGAACAAGAAACAAAAAAAACCGTTCCGAGCTCTCAGTATAGTTCTCTCACCCAGTAGTGAAGAGGCGACTCGTGTGCCTGCGTCGCAAGGTCGACCTCTGTAATGTTGGAGCACGATCAGTTCAGCTCCGCTCGCTGGTACACAGGTCGACCTGCCCAACAGTACCGTGTTCGCCAGATTCTGCGGGATACACGGCAAGGGACTACGTAGGAGGAAGTTGAGCACGCGCGTGAGCCCTGCTCCAGTCGACTGAGTCGACTGATCAGTGATCATCTTGCCTGTGCTGCACCGATAGTCTGGCGAGCGCGGTAAGCAGAGCGCTCACTGCAGGCTACTCTATATCAAGGGGCTGCTGAGCCCCCTCTGTTGCAGGCAGTTGTTAATGGTGCGATTCGTAGCGCGCCCCTTCTGCTGCGGGTGCGGCCAGTAGAGCACCCACGCAACAGCCACATGAGTTCACGCCATGGGTTCCTTAGCGGTTTGCGCATGGGGACCAACGAAGGCACGACGGACCGGCTTGAGCACCAGACCCGATCAGACTCGAATGGTGCCTGCTCTGCCCACTCCACCCTCTCTTTGCCCGGGCCCGACGCTGTTTGGCTCGAGCCGACTGGGCTCCGTGCTCTCACATCCCGCCTTCAGGCAAATATGTGTGTGTTCCCACCTCACCTCGCACATCCCCTTTTCTAGTGTCCTCCCCCTCCTTGCCCCCTCTCCTTGCCCAGCTTTCCCCCTTCCGTCCGTGTCCCAGTCGTGCTGCCTCTCCCACTACCGAGGTCTCGGGCCTGACGCTCGACATGCACAGTCTGCGGCTGTACTGCTATTGCGACGGCGCCAGCCCCTGCGCCACCACGGGCCTGACCAAGTGGAACCTCACCCACGGCGCGCCCCAGGAGGCCCACCACTCGGATGGATAGGATACGCAGGAGGAAGACTCGGACAAGGGGGAGGGAGGAACGAGGACGGAAACAGGACGATGAGGAGAAAAGGGAAAAAGGAGGATGAGGACAAAAAGGATGAGGAGGGGGAGGGGGAATAGGAGAGGGGAGGAGGAGGAGAGGGAGGAGAGGAGGGAGGTAGAGGAGGAGAGGAGGAGGAGGAGGAGGAGGAGGAAAATGAGGAGGATGAGGAAGAGGAGGCGAAGGAAGGGTAGGAGGAAGAGGAGGAGAAAGAGAAAAAGGAGGAGGAGGAGGAGGACAAGGAGAAAAGAGATGCGGAGGAGGAGGAGGAGGAGGAGGAGGAGGAGGAGGAGGAGAAGGAGGAGGAGGCGGCGCAGGACGGGGGGGCAGAGGAGGACGGGGAGGCGCTGAAGGAGGGAGGAGCAGCACTATGGGCAGAAGGGGAGAATGAATGGGATGGGAAGGAAGAGAAACTGTGCCCCTGATTGGTACTCCGTGCGCCGTGCAGTTTGTAGCCTTGGAGCTGCAGTGGCGCAGGGGGGTAGGCTTCAGAGAACGAGAGAGAGAGAGAGAACCCCCAAAAAAAGCGAGAGAGAGAGAGAGAGAGATGGAAACATAAAAGTAGGGAAGAGGGATCGTGAGACAGAACGGCAAAAGGAGAGCGTGGGCGGGAGAGGGAGGGAAATCTGCAGAAGAGAGAGAAGGGTGGAAGAGAGGAATGTGGGTTGGACGGGGGGAGCTCGGAGCAGAGGCGCCTCCAACTCCTCTTCTTCCTCCTCCGCCTCTCTTTCTCCTCTTCGTCCTCCTCCTGCTCCTCTTCCTCCTCCTCCTCCTCCTCCTCCTCCTCCTCCTCCTCCTCATTTCTCTTTTCCCCTGTACTCCTCGCGCCGCTTTTCCCCCTCGCTGCTGTTCATCATCTCTTGCGCTCTGTTTTGCGCAAGAGCCGAGGATGCTGGAGGTCGCGCTGCCATCCTACGCGCTGGCTCTCGCTCCAACTCCCACGGCAGGTCTGAAGGCTGGGTTTCGGGACGCCGCACCGTCGCGCGAGGCCCGCCCCGTCCACACCGGCTCGTCCTCTCGCCCAGCCTCGGCCTCGAGCTGTCTGGGCGCTCCTGTCTCCCCTCCTCCTCCTCCTCTACTCATCCTCTGTCCTCCTCCTACCTCCCTCTCCTCTCCTCTCCTACCCTTCCTCCTACTCCCCCTCTACCTCTCCTCCTCCTCCTCGTCCTCTACCTCCTCCTCCTCTCCTCCTCTCATCCTCCACCCTCTCCTCCTCCTCTCCTCTCCTCCTCTCCTCTCCTCCTCTCTCCTCCTCCTCCTCCTCTCCTCCTCTCCTCTACCTTCCTTCCTCTCTCATCCTCTCCTCCCTCACTCCTCCTCATCCTCTCCCCTCCTCCTCCTCCTCCTTCCCTCCTACTCTCCTCCTCCTCCTCCTCCTCCCTTTCTCCTCCTCCTCCTCCTCCTTCATCTCCTCCTCCTTCCTCTACTCCCTTTCTCCTCCTCTCCTCTCCTTCTCCTCCTCCTCTCCTCCTCCTCCGCCCTCTCTCCTCCTCCTCCTCCTCCTCCTTCACTCCTCCTCCTCTATTTCCTCTCCTCCTCATCTCTCCTCCTCCTCTCCTCCCTCATCATCACTCCTCCTCCTCCTCCTCCTCCACCTGGCGGACCTTGTCAATCTCTCCCCGCCTCCTAACTCCTCCTCCTCCTAATCCGCCACTCATCACTTACTCCTCCCTCCTCCCTCCTCCTCCTATCCTCCTCAACTCACTTTTCCTCATCCTTCTCCATACATCTCCTCTCCTTCTCCTCTCTCCTCTACCTCCTCCTATCCCTTCTTACTCCCCTTCCTCATCCTCATCCACATCTCGTCTCCCTCATCCTCCTCCTTGATTCCTTACTCATCCTCTTCCTCCTACCTCCTTCACTCTTCCTCAGCATCCTACCTTGTATCCATCCCTCCCCTCTTCTCATCCTTCTCCTCTACTCCTTTATCCTCCCTTCTGCCCCCCTTATCCTCTCCTACCCCCCCCTCCTCTCCTCCCCCCTCCCCCTCCTCCCTCCCGCCCTCCTCGGGTCCCGATTCGCTCCGCCTTTTACTCCCCACATCTGTAGGGTGCCCATTCCATGGGGCTCCATCTCGTCTCGTGGCGTCGCGCTCGACGTGATGTTCGATGCCCTCATCACACACCCCGCCCTCGTGGCGCTCGAAGTGCCTCACGCGCACAGCATGCCATTGGAGCTCGAGCGAGGGTCGTTGCGAGACGACCTCGCACCACCTCGCACTTTTCCCGCGACCTGGAGTCTCTCGTCACGTCCCTCCTCCTTCCATTCTGGCTCACCCCATTGGCCCCCCTCTCACGCTCCCGCGCCAAGTGCGCAAGGGACAGGAGTTGCCGATGCTGGCTCGACGGAGAGGCGGCGTGGCGGCCTAGCGGTTTCCCCAGTGGCGCGGCGCTGCACCCCGGGGAGGCCAGCTGGCGTCGAGGGCCAGCGCCGGCGCCAGGGACGGGAAACCGCGGGAGAATCGGCTCTGCCAGGATGTCGGCCTTCCAGGAATTGGGGGGTACTCGCGACGCGTGCCTTCTTACACTCCTATGGCGATGTGGCCTTCGGAAAGGTCCCGTGTCCTCTCGCGTGTCCTCTCCAATCGAGGCCCGACTGCATCCCTGGAGCATTCTCTTTCTCAGGGTCGCCCCAGAGTCGGAGGCCTCGCACTGCCTCGCAAGGGTTGGTCTGGACAACGTGGCGGCGGGCGGAGGCACGCGAGCACCTTGTCGGGAAAGCTGGCCCGGGCGGCGCTTTCAGGACCAGGCCGTCGACTTCGGAGCGTCAGGCAGTACACCAAGTTCCACGCCTCCTTCGCCGCGTCCCCCCTCCTCCTGCCCCTCTTGCTCTCCTCCTCCTCCTCCTCATCCTCCTCCTTTCTCCTCCTCCTCCTCCTTTCCCCTCCTCCTCCTCCATCCTCCCTCCTCCATCCTCCTCGTCCTACTCCTTTCTTCCTCTCCTCCTCATCCTCCTCCTACTCCTCCTCCTCCTCTCCTCCTCCTCCTCCTCCTTCTCCTCCTCCTCCTCCCTCCTCCCCCTTCCCCTCCCCTCCCCCTCCCCCTCCTCACTTCCCCCTCTTCCCTCTTCCCCAATTCCCCCTCACCCTCGATTCCCCCTCCCCCTCCGCCTCCTTCTCCTCCTCCTCCTCCTCCTCTACCTCCTCCTCCTCCTCGTCCTCCTCCTTCCTCCTCCTCCTTCTCCTCCTCCCTCCTCTCTCTTCTCCTCTCTGCTCTCTCCTCTCTCCTCTCTCATCTCTCCTCTCTCCTCTTTCCTCTCTCCTCCTCCTCCTTCTCCTCCTCCTCCTCTTGTTTTTTCCTCCTCAAACATAATTCCTCCCTGTCGCACCCCGAGGCCAGTCGCAAAGGCGGACGGGGCGTTTCGTCCGAGACTTCCTTGCCTTTGTGATCCTGAAGCTTAGACATTGGCAGTATTTTCACAAATGGAGGGCGGGTGATCTTCAAAATGTGGCTCTCGCCTTAGCGCCGCGCACGTTCGTTTTAAACATTTGCTGGAGTTTCACATATTGAAGGCGGGTGTTTTGCAATATTCGGTTCTCCCCTTCGCGCCGCGCGCATTCGTTTTAACAAGTTGCCAGAGCGTCACGGATTGAGGGCGGGTGGCATTCATTGTAAGCATTTACAAGAGCTTCATGGGCCGAGGGCGGGTGGTTTTCAAAATGTGGTTCTCGCCTCAGCGCCGTGCATATTCGTTAAACCATAGAGGCGCTTCACGGATTGAAGGCGGGTCTTTTTTAAATTGTGGTTCTCTCCTTAATGCCGCTCGCAATGTATTTTTTTAATAATTTGCAAGGGCTTCGCGGATTGAGGGTGGGTGGTTTTCAACATGTGGTTCTCGCCTTATCGCCGCGCACATCCCTTCAACAAAAGTGTAAGAGCTATATGGCTTCCCATGGCTAGCATACTAGAAATGGCGTTTTGGAAGGCTTCAGGATTGTCAGGGCGCAACAATTATGTTGATGATTCGCGGTGGTGAAGTCCCAGGAGCGGTGTTTGGCACGGTTCTGGATCGTCAAAACGTAGCAGTCAGGTTGATTCGTGGCGATGGAGTCCCGAGAATGGTTCTTTGGCACGCTTCGGGTTCTTCAAACGGTAGTCTCCCAACGGGGCACTTCCCTCAGTGGAAATGAAGCCTTGTAGGGGCGTATGAAGAGGGAGTCTGGATGGAGGGTTTATTCCAATATCGTTGATGAATGTTTGATTTTCACTGGCCCTCCTCCTCCTCCTCCTTCACTTCCTCCTCCCCGTTTCCTCATCGTAGCCTGCTGTAGTCTCCATGGCTGCTGCTGTAGCCTCCTCATCATCCTTCTCCTCTGGGCCCTCCTTTTTCTACGCTGGTGCCACCTGCCTCAGTCCGCGAGCGCACTTGGACGCACCCTGCCAAGAGCAGGGCCCCGCCGGACGGAAGACGTGAGCCGACAGGAGCAAAACATCGTCGTCGGCATCGACCTCGTTCGTCGCCTCATGACCCTTCGTCGTCCTTCCGTCATCCTCATGACCCTTCGTCGTCCTCGCCTTCGTCGTCTTCATCGTCGTCGTCCGTCGTCGTTATCATCCTCGTCGTCGTCGTCGTCGTCGTCGTCCGCTGTCGTCGTCGTCGTCGTCGTCCGTCGTCCGTCGTCCGTCGTCCGTCGTCGTCGTCGTCGTCGTCGTCGTCGTCGTCGTCGTCCGCCGTCGTCGTCGTCGTCCGCCGTCGTCGTCGTCGTCGTCGTCGTCATCGTCGTCATCGTCGTCGTCGTCGTCGTCGTCGTCCGTCGCCGTCGTCGTCGTCGTCGTCGTCGTCTTGGTCGTCGTCGTCGTCGTCGTCGCCGTCGTCGTCGTCGTCGTCGTCTCGCGCGGGACGAGGCCACGGCGACCGTCGCGGCCCGCCTTGCTGTGGACCACCCGCTGCTCGCCGCCCGCACCTCCATTGGGGTGCCCTGAGGGCTGGCCGAACGCGCCAGGGGCCCCTCCTCCTCCGCCTCCTCCCTCCCCTCCCTGTATCCTCCCCCTCGCCTCCGCCGCCTGCCGCACCCCTCCTTTCCCCCCCCCCCCCCCTCCCTCTTGCCTTCTTCCTGCCCTCTTCCTCTTCTTCCCTCCATCCCCTCTTCCATCACCTCTTCCTCCCTCTTCCTGCCCTCTTCCTCTTCCCCCACCCCTCCTTTCCCCCCCCCCTCCTGCCCTCTTCCCTTCTCCCCATCCATCCCTCTCTGCGCTCCCCCGCTCCGCCTCGCCCCCAGACTCCCCCCCTCCTTCCACCCTTACCCCGCCCCCCCCGCGCCTGTCGCCAGCCGCGAGGGGGAGCACAAGAAGGAGGAGGAGGTGGAGGAGGAGGAGGAGGGGGAGGAGGAGGAGGATCAGTGCAAAAAACCCAGAGTCATCAACGATGTTGGAATTAAGCCTCCCTCCAAGCTCCCTCATCATAGGCCCGCACAAGTGTTCGTTTTCATTGCGGGAAGTGCCTCGTTGGAAGACAACCGCTTGAAGATCCTGAAGCATTTCTCGGAATTTCAACGGCACGTATCAACCTCACTGCAGTGTCTTGAAGATCCGGAGTTGTGCCAGAGCGCCATTTTTGGGACTGCAACACCCGCATAATCCTGAATCTTTCCCAAACACCATTTCTGTTAGGAGGAGGAGGAGGAGGAGGAGGAGGAGGAGGAGGAGGAAGGGGGAGGATAGGGGGAGGAGGGGAGAGCAGGAGGAGGAGGAGGAGGAGGAGGAGGAGGAGGAGGCAGTGAGGAGGAGGAGGAGACGAGGGGCGACGAGGGGCGGTAGGAGGAGGAGGAGGAGGAGGAGGAGGAGTGAGGAGGAGGAGGAGGAGGAGGAGGAGGAGGAGGAGGAGGAGGAGGGGGAGGTTAGGACGAGGGAGGAGGGAGGAGCAGGAGAGGAGGAGGAGGAGGAGGAGGGGAGGAGCGAGGAGCGAGACGAGGGCGACGAGGGGGAGGGAGGAGGAGGAGGAGGAGGAGGAGGTGGAGGAGGAGGGGAGGAGGGAGGAGGAGGAGGAGGAGGCGGAGGAGGAGGAGGAGGAGGAGGAGCCCCTTGGGGCCCCCACGCCTTCCCCCCGCCGATCTCGAGGTGCCGCCCCCGGCGCACGTGACCGTCGCCTGGGGCTCGGCGCCCCGCCGCCCGCCGCGCGGCCCGCGGCACGGCCGTCGCCGTCGCAGTGGCCGCGGGCATCGCCGCCGAGCAGTCGCAGTGGCCGCCAGCAGCGCCGTCGAGCCGTCGTCGCCGTCGAGGAGGAGGAGGAGGAGGAGGAGGAGGAGGAGGAGGAGGAGGAG